TGTGACATTTCTTCTAGGAGGATTCAAAATTTAATTTTTCATACTATAAGAGACTAATTAAAAATTAAAAAATTATAACATTCTCCTGTTTATTTTTTTTCTTCATTTTATAAATTATTATAGAAGTTTAACAACAATTATGGATAACTTTGATAATATAGTTTTGAGTAAAATAAAATAACTCCCTTCCATTTTGCTAAAATTATACATAGCTCACATCTATTTTCAAAATCTATACTTTACTCCAATTTTTAACAACATTCTCTGTTAAATATTCTAAAATACTTAATTTTTTATTTATCATTATGTTAATATTTTTAAAATTAATAATTTGTCCTTATAATATAATTATCTACTCTCTCCCCATAATTTAAATGTAATAGCCCATGAATTTAAATAAAGTAAAATATCATGATTAGATAATTTGAGAGTATTTTCATTAATTTTGGAGATAATTTTATTAAGTTATATTAGTACTTGAATGGAAATTCTGTTGGTATCCATCTTCATGTATTTGGTTCGAATCCATGCAAGGTCAAAAGGGAAATTTTATTTTTGTTGCAGCCAGATGAAATTACTATTTTGACCCTTTATTATTTAAAAAAAAAAAAAAAGAAAAAGAGCAGTCAAAACCAAAAACGCACGGCTTCCTCTTCTTTTCTCCATCTTCATTTCTTTCGAAACCTCCAGAACCTAGAGAGAGAGGGAGTGCTTCGATCAACCTCCGTCCTCTTCCCTTTCCTTCTCCGTATCAGTTATCGTCGATGTTAGTTAGTGCCAGAGCTTGAGCTGTCGCTGTGGAGTCTTCTTCTCCTTCCCCTGTTCGAACGTTGGTTTCCTTTTTCTCTGAGCAGCAACAAATATCTAGGTGCGACGCTATGCTGGTGTGGCTGTGGGGGTTGCATCAAACTCTTTCCTCCCTTATTTCACTGTCGACTCTCCTTCTCTATTTCTTCCGTTCATCTGCGCAGGCATTTGAGGAAGCAGAAGCTGTTCATTTCCCTCTGTTCTTTGTTCATCCTCCCCTGTTTCTCACTGCAAACATCTTCACTCCTCTCTCATTCATGTTGTTGTAGATTCTTCTTCCTTCCTCCTCCTTGTTCGTTTGCCTAAGATCATTTCCTTCTTGGTTTGGTCATGCTAGTTACAGGTGAGGAGCTTTGAATTTTCTTTTTGCTAGTTCTGTGTGTGTGTGTGTGTGTGTTTAATTAGTTGAGACAATATTATTTGGTGTGTGAGGTTACTACTGTGCGTGATCATAGAAAGGGAGTAGGTTTCTGAACCAACCAAAAATCTTTTTCGATTGAAGATGTTGTTTATGCTTGGAGTATAACTGAATTTATATTGATTTTGTTGAAGAAATAAACTTGGGATGCCAGATTAAATTTTATATTGATACTGTAGAATTGTTGGAGAAATTATGGGATGGTATTTGAAGGAAGAATTTACTATTAAAATTTAAAAATTAGTGCTCATAAGATGTTTGACAAAATGCTTGAAAGGATGAATATTGGTGGATGATGGGGAATAGATGTGATGATTGTATTATTGACAATTAAATTGTTATGAAAGAGAATTATTCTCTATAAAGAAAGTTGAAATTAGAAATAGAGTAGTTTGGAAATAATATTATGAATTAGTAATTCAAGAGCCAATTTGTTATTAAGATATTAGTCATTAGAATGTTTATGAAATGTTTGAAAAATGTTAGAAGTTAAGAGCTATTTGTGTTATTTTCTGAATTATTTTAGATTGATGACGATGATAATAATAGATCTATAAAAGAAAATAACAATGGTATTTCTTGGGCACTAGGATTTAAAGAGCAAGCATTACTAGAAGAGGACCAATTAGAAGTAAGTTATTTATTTAAAAAATTATTAGGTAAGTGGATAACGTCCCGATTAATTTATATTTTTTAAAAAAATTCTTTATTAAAATATTATTTTAACAATTTATAGATATTATATATTTCTCTTGCATTAGCTCCTTTTGTTAATTAAATTGTTTTACTTCTTAGAATCATTACTTATACTTTTTGGATTGACGAAATACTTTTACAAATTTTAGTAGTCTGTTATTTGATATAGCCAACTATGAAAATTAGTGAACAATTTATGAAATATTAATTATGAATTTTCATATTTAGAAAGATTGATATTTTACTTGGTTCATGCAAGTTTGAAACTGAAAAGAGAAATTATATTTTGCAAGTGATAATTTTCTTGCATGTTTGAAAATAGATTTGAAAGAGACTTTATACAGAACACTAGTTGTTAACGGCAGTTCCGTTAGCCCTTGGCACGCCATGGTATACCTAGCTAGTAGGGTGTTTATAGGAGGTGCTAGCCCCATGCGATGGCCAACGCACGTGGAATGGAGGGATGGTTATTCGTGAACATCATACTCACATTTGTTTTGTGGCTTCAAGCCGTGTTTGGTTAGCATTACCCTCGTGTACTGTGTGTCCACATTTGTTTCGTGGCTTCGGCTGCATTTGGTTACTTATTCTCATGGACTGTGTGTCCACGTTTGTTTTCGTGGCATAAGCCACGTTTGATTAGTTACCCTCGTGAATTGTGTGTCTACGTTTGTTAATTATTCTAATAAGTCCCTATAATTATGAATCTAATTATTTGATGATTTATATTCCATTGGTTTTTTATTTAGTAATTTATTTATGAAGAAAAAAACTTTTTTTATTTGTATGCTTTCTTGAAATCAAGTGATATTAACATTTGCTATGATAGTTCAATGATTTGAGATCTTTATTTAAAATTTTATAGAGCCGTTTTATTATGAAGTTGATTAAACTTTTATATAAATTGTCGTCTCTTTAACATACATAATTATTTCAAACTTTTCATTTTATTTATGTTCTATTGTTTATTGTTGGGACGTTATTCACTGAAAATTATTTTTGGTCTCAGATACCCTAGTTGACACCGATCCTCCTGTTGATCCATGAGAACTTTTAGATGTGCTGGGTGACGAACTTATTGAAATTTCTCTTTTTATGTAACTATAAATGCTTATGTATTTTATTTTTGAAGAAATCTGGTTAGGTGCTTCACATATGCTATATCTAGGATTTCTATTTTGGTATATATGCTGTCTGTTCATTGAAAAAGCTAAGCTCCTAATTGACATGGTATTCTGTGAATATTTTTGTATTGTAGAGTTTTGGATGATCCTATTTACTAGTGAGGTTTTGTCGATATTTTTACAATTTTTTTAAAACTTTATTTTGATGACCAATATCAAAAATGTTAAAATTTCAATATAAATTTGATTACATATTAGAAATAAGATGAGTTTAAGGTTAGAGGCTTGCGGAGATGTGTTATATGGTTCACATCTTGTGCTGGTTACCTTCTATTTTTGGAGCGTGACATTAAAAAACTTTAAGTAATTAAGTATGGAAATATTTAAATATACAATTTATATTTAAATAAAATAATAATTTAAAAGTATCATGTTAAAATTAATGAAATTTAAAGAAAAATAAAACATAAATTATTTGACTAATGTATCTTTCATTTTGTTAAATCCCTAATGCATTAAGTTCTTCTACATTGGTTTGAAATACAATTTTAGTCAACTTAGTCTGTATACTGGACTAAACTATTTACTATCATTCAATTCCAAATTACTCAAATTTTTGAAACTACATACATAGGTTCAATATATCACCCATAACACTATCATTTTTCATGCTCAACAAACTTGGTGCTTCAAAACCCTTACTAGCTCGCCCTTTGGGCCCTCAAATGTCAAAAACGTTAGGTGAGTTTTTAGATTTTACACATCAAGGTTCAAGTTGATCCATTCACATGCCTCTAGTTCACCGATGTCAAGCTATCTTAAATAATGGGGATGTCAAATATGGATGATATTCCATATCATAAAATCATTTTTATTTGTTTCAATTGTCATTTTCTTGTCCATGTCCAGGATTGATGTTTAAGGGACTCATCTAGTCATCCTGGATAAATAATAATATGCCTTTGGAAAATATCATTGAAGGACCTCTGAAATTATTTAATATCTAACAATGATTTCTAATAAATAAACATTACCCCTTGGTTCTCCAAAATGAAGAGAACCATTGAGCCAACAAACACTTTAATATGTATAGTGCAAAATATATATATATATATATATATATATTATAACTTTCATTTTCAAGTATTTTTAATTGTTATTGCATATCCTGGACATCTTACTACATATATCTGAATAATCACTTGTACATATTCGAACATTACTTATTTATACACAAAAAGTTGTCAATTTTTTAAACCCAATTTATTCTATTTTTCATAACTTGTTCCTTTAATGTTAACAAGTTATTAATATTATGCTAAATAAAAAAAAGTATGTTATAATTTTTTTCCACGCATTTTCATGGGCTTTTGTTAATCGTTGACATCTAGTTGTATATATATGAACAATCACTTGTACATACATAAAAAATTGTCAATTTTTTAAAACCCAATTCATGTTATTTTTCACAAGTTGTTCCTTCAATGTTAACAAATTATTAATATTATGCTAAATAAAAAATGTGTAATGACGTTGAAGAAGACATTTGTGAAGTGGATTTCAAAGAAATGCAGATTGTTACCCATAAGAAAAAGTAGCAATAAAAGTCAAATAAAAGACAAGCTGAAAGAAAAAAGCAAGAGTGGAAAGAAGAAAGACAAAAAAGAGTCAAAAGTTGCGGGAAAGTAAAGAAAAAGCAAGACAAAAAAAGATCACCAAAGACATACTTCACGAAAAAGCAAAGTCTCATGGCAGACAAAGCTAGAATTCACTGGCACGAAAAGTCTTGTGGACAATAGAGCCAAAATTCATGAGAAATAAATCACGGGTGAAAATAAAAAGTAACCTAACAACAGTTGTAAGAAAAGCAACTCGAGTTTAGTAAATTAGGGTCCTAAACCTCTATAAAATCAAAACTTCCTTTAGTTTACAGGCATTAGCTTCTTTTCAGCTCTCTCTTTTGTACTCCACTTCCCTCTCCTCTCACTTGTAATATTTCCTTTCTTCATCCGCCATCTTCATTGTAAGCACATCTACTGTACCTCCTCCTTATTTACAATAAAGTTTAATTTTCTTTTATTTATTTTAACTCTTCTGGTGAAAAGTTCTTAAAATACCAATTTTTTTTCCTCTATTCTCTGGGGGCATAAACATTTTTCTAAGTATATTTTGTCTATGCTCTCTCTCTCTCTCTATGTGTATGGTATCAAAGCCAAATTGTTTTTCTAAATTGTGCTAATTTATTTGTTTTAAACTATTTTTATTAATACTATTTTATTGTTTTCCTAGTTGAAACATCAGTAAACCAATGAGCCCGGACCTGGTAGTGTGTGTAAGTCCGTTGGATTAGGGAATAGTGTTCCCATGAAACCTAAGAAGAAGAAGAAAGTAGAAATAAAACCTAGTTTAAATAGAAAAATGAGTTGGTTTATAAAGATAATAGGAACTGAGTCAGAGAAGGAAGAGAGATTGAGTCATAAAAGCTTAAGTCTACAGTCAAATAGGAGTAATGAACCCAAAGAAAAAAATAGAAGAAGTAAAAAATAGTCAAATGTTTGGAGAATCAAAAATTACTACAGTCACCCTTTAGGAACTATTAACTAACTAGTCAATGCCTACCTTCAAAGAAAAGGAGATTTATAAGACAACTAATTTTGATTTCTCTTGTGTCACCCAAACTATAGAGAAAGAGATAGGAATAAATAAATAAAGGCAGTATATATATATATATATAATTCTTGAAGAAACAGTTATAAAATTTAGAGATAAATATAATTGGATGCATATAGGTATGATACAGGTTGCAGTTAAAACTAACTTCAGGTTAGGTTTAGATGAACCTATATTCATTTGTTTAAAAGATAGAAGAGTAGAAAAATATTTTCAAAAATCCATAGTTGGTATTATACAGTCAAACTTGTTCGAAGGACTAATCTATTTTGATTGTTTCCTGAACTATGTTACTAGATTAAAGGATCATAACTGTAGAGAAGCTTTAGTCATGGAAATAGAAAATGAGGGAACTTGGAAGAAGGGAACAACTTATATGGTTGTACAGTATAGAATTATGTTTAAAATACAGGAAACACATTTGAACTTTAGAACTAAGAAAGAAAGCCCTAGAGGAGAAACTATGTTAGTAGAAATAGGAGATCCCTCTAAAATATCAATAGTAGTACAAAAGAGAATAAAACATAGTGAGATACAAATCCCAAAAAGCTGTAATTTTCCTAAGTTGACAAAGCCTACTCCTTTAGAATAAGGAAAATTGAAAGAAGTAATCATCGCTTCAAAAGGAGATGTAACCTATGAGATTATAAATAGGTCAACCTCCTGTAAGATAAAAGAAAATATTCCCATAGTCATACATAGATCTTCTATAAACAACTCCAGTATAGGATATAAACTAGCAGGAGTAGATTTTACACCAAACATACCAAGACCAATATATAAGGCAGAAACCTGTAGAATTAGAGATGAAGAAAACTTAGAAGAAAATATAGAATTAGAAACCCATTCATAAATAGAAAAGGAATTTAGACCACCTATAGAATATCAATGCCTAAATGTCATCAGAAAAGAAGGATTTGAGCTAGACAAAGAAATACTTAGAAAGATGTTTGCGTCCCTAGAGAATAGAGAAAAAAGAAATTGGTATTTTAAGAACCTTTTGCCAGAAGAGTTAGAAGAAATAAAAGAAAATTATTATACAAAGTTAATACAGCTTGGAGAACATATAGATTTCTTTAAGTGGTTAGAAATGCACACCTACAATAATGAAATATTTAATCCCTTTAGTAAAAACAATCACCCTTCGGTAAATGTTAATACAATTAGAACCAAAAACTAGAGATGTAGGGATAACACTTCAATAACAGCCATACATCCTCCTTAAGAAGAAATAACTTTTAAAGTAGGACATAGCAACATAGTTGCCTCACCTTTAAAATTAATAAACCTTCAAGACCATAAGGAGTTACAGAAAATAATCCAGCAAAATTACTATACCAATATAGCCATTCATACTATAGGACAGCAAGTTAGCAAATTAGAAGATAGCTTAGAACATAAACCAATAGAACTAGAACCTACAGCTATAAATCCATAGAGATCGGTATTTAATTATGAAGCTGTACCAGCAGAACAAGCCAAACATAGAACTTTAGGAAAATGGGATATTAGAGATAAAAATAATAAAACTGAAAATTTACTTTTAGATATAAACAAAAAAATAGAAACCTTAAGTATAAAGGATAAAAAAGATAGAGTTAATGTTATAAATAAAGATATAGAAGAATTGGATATTAATAAGATCAAACCAGAGATTGGAATAAAGGAAAAAAAATACAAAAAATTATTATTCGAGATCAACACTCCTGGATCATTAGTTTGAAAAAAGATATACCACTATAACCTCTCATTATGATGGAACATCGATCTATGAATGGAATATAGATGGTTTTATTGAATACGAAATAATGAATTTAGTACAAGAAATGACCAAGGTAGTAGCTGCATATAGAATAAATAAATTATAGGATAATAGTATATTTGATATGCTAACCCAAGGATTTACTGGAAGTCTTAAAGGTTGGTGGGAAGATATTCTCACTAAATTAGAAAGACTTCAAGTAAAGTGTAATAACCTTGACTAAATTTAAAATAGATAAATAAATAAATATATAGGTTAACTTACTTAAAGTGTGTTTATATTAGTTTTTGGGATAAATATAGCAAGTTAGAGACTTGGTCTAGTGGCAGCTGAGCAATCTTTCTTACATGAGGTCCCAAGTTCGAATCTGGAAGAGACTAAAAAGGAGAGTTAAATTTTTCTTTTTCTAGCTATGCAAAATTAACAGACTACCCTTGGTTCATCAGATATTTTAACTCTTCCTTCTTCTTTTCTTGGGCATTCTAGAGCATAAGGAGATCTGAGGATTTGACGAATTTTGCTAAGCCTCTCTTGGGTCATTGCTTTCTTCCCTTTCAATCGTAGCTGGCGCCGCATTCGCATAGCTCGTCATCGCCGGTGTGTTTGTAGTTGGTCTGTTCGTTTCAGTTAGAGTTCTCCTCTATTTCTGCGTCATTCTCCCTTGCACGAGCTCAGCATTTCACTAGGTTAAGGTCGTCGGAAATGGGTGATGCTGGTCATGAGCTGAGGCGACACTGATTCTGGTTTTTCCCTTTGAATGGTGCGGCATCTTCCTTTGTTTCTTGCTCAGCTGAAGATTTCCATTTTCTCTCCTCTGGTTTGCTGTAGATTCTGCCTTCTTCGTTGCCCCTGCTGTTATTGGTGTTTGAGGTGAGAATCTTAAGGACTTTTCTTGATGAATTTGTTCGATAGAGAGAGAGAGTTTTGATTGAGGACTGAAATTATAAAAATTTTGGTGGGTGTTCTGTTGCTGCCTTGACCGGAAAAAAAAATCTTGTTGAAATCGAAAGAGACAAGCTTGGATATATGGTTGGTACTTATAAGATGTCATTGAAGGGCCTGTATGAGGAGATAAAATTTAACTTCTAAATATTGATGGGAATTATTGGTTTAGGAATTCACTTGTAGCTTTGTAAAGGAATTTAATTATGGGCTTGCACACAATCATGTGTATATTTGGAGTTTGTTTGATTTTTGGTGAATGGTTAAAGGCTTAAAATTGAAGAGCTAGAAGTAATGCACCTAAGGTAAGTGGTGCAAAGATTGGGAGAAAACTTCTATTCCAAGAAAATAGAATGGCATGGCTAAAGTTTTATGGAGAAAGTAAGAGAAATGAATGATATTGCTTGAATTAACTTTAATCATAAATTTGGTTTTGAATTTTTGATGGTGGTTAGTAAAGGGTATGTTTTAAAAAACAAGTTATTAAAATTGTATATATTTATATTTTTAGGGTGTGTGGAAGAACAAGACCCGGATAAGACTTAAAAGAAGAATACTTCCAAAAATCTAGAACTTCAACAGGTAAGTGAATAGCATTCCCTTTAATTTATTTTTATTGGTACTTTTATTTTTAACAAATTTTCATTGAGATATTTTATTCTTGTGAACTACATTAGTTTTGAAACTTTGTGATATTGATGCGAGACGTTTAAAGGAGAATATGTGCATTTATTTCCTCAGGGAATATGTTTTAAAGATTTATGGAATTATTTGGTTTATTAAACTCTTGAAATCCTTGATTATTTAGATAACGCAAGCTCGTATATTATTTCATGAAAGACTATTTTCAACATGTTTTAAATTAAAATTTAAAGTGATACATGCAAGTTTGGCATTGGAAACGCTGATTATATTTCTGAACTAATTATTTTCTTGCATGTTTGAAACACAATTTTTGAGAGGACTCCAAACAGAACACTGTTGCTAACGGTAGCTCCGTTAGCCCGTAGCGCTGTGGTTAAATACTAGCTAGTTTTTTTCGTGAGTTTTATTCTCACATTTGGTATTCGTGGGCTTCGTACCTGTGTTTGATTCTATGGCCTAAGCTCCGTTTGGTTACTTACCCTCGTGGGCTGTGTATCCACATTTGTTTCGTAGCTTCGGCTGTGTTTGGTTACTTATCCTCGTGGACTGATGTGTCCGCGTTTGTTTTCGTGGCATAAGCTGCGTTTGGCTATTTACCCTCGTGAACTATATTTGTAACCTATTCTGTTGAGTTCTCAGAAATTTAAATGTTAATTAATATGTGTGTTTGAAATTTACCTGATTTTGACTAGTAATTGGTATCGTTTTGAGTTATATGAGAGCAGATTGACTTCTTTTAGCATGATAACATAAATTTTTTTCAATTCATTCTTATTTTACAAATATGATTATGACTTACATGCTTATAAATTTTTGGTGGATTTACTTTCAATTTCTTGACACTATTATTTGAGATTGTCAATTTAAATTTTAAAAATTTTATTATGGGAATGCTATTTACTGAAAAAAAGTTATTTGGCCTCAGATTGGTTAGCTGACGCTGATTCCACTAACGACCTCAAAAAGGGCAAATAGCTACAGTGGGTGGACATTTTGATTGATATTGTTGCTTTAATGTAAATATATAATTTGTATGTCTTTTTGATTTGAAAGAAAGAGTAGATGCTCCACATAGGTTGTTTATGAATCTTATTTTCGTCTGTATATTAGTTGCTGGCTGGAAAGAGCTATGCTCCTGATTTATACTGTTATTTGTAAACTTTTTTGTTGTAGAATTTTCGAGAGATCCTAGTTATAGGGGACGTTCTGTCGAAATTTCTACAAAAACGTCGAATTGAAAGAAGTTATTTTAATTCTGTTGTGATTTGATTGAATTTTGTTCTTTTCTTGAAAAATGAAATAAACGTTCACTTGGAGGCTTATGGGAATGTGAGAATGGTTCACACCCATGCCGGTCACCCTCTACTTTTAGGGTGTGACATAAAAACTTGGCATTATGTAAAGAAAGAAGAAAGTGACATGGAAACACACTACCTAGATAATATAGGACAATTAATATATGCTATAATAAAACATTTTGTAGGAGAACCTACAGGAATACAAGAAAGATATTTAGTAGAATTCAAGAATTTAAGGTGTCCTACACTTGTAGATTTTAGATGGTATAAAGATAATTTTATTCCTAAATTTTTTAGAGACAAGATGCTAATTCAGATTTTTAGAAAGAAAAATTTATATATAGATTACCAAAGCTTTTCACTAAGAGAGTTAAGGAAGAAATTAAACAAAGACAAAGGACAGGAACTATAAATTATAGTTCTTTGACTTATGGAGAATTAGTCCAAGTAATTAATATTACAAGACTAAAACTCTGTAATGAAATAAAAATGCAAAAGAAAATATATAGAGACACTAAACAAGGAAGATTAGAATTAGGAGATTTCTACAAGCAATATGGATTTGAAAAGATCTAAGGTCCTTCTAGAAGAAAAAAGAAAAATAGTTATAACCTTGTACCTTATAAGAAATATAGAAAGAAAAAACACTATTTTCCAAAATATAAAAAATCTTTCAAGAAAAATAAATGTTTTCAAAAAGATGAAAAAGATAAAAAAAAAGACATAATCTGTTATAAATGTGGTGGATTTGGGCATTAAATGTAAGGTAGAAAAGAAAATTAGAGAACTACAAATAAGAGAAGAAAACAAGCAAAATCTTCTTAGGATTATGCTTGAAAGTGATTTTAAGACTAAAGAAGAAGAAGAAGAAGAGCAAGAAATAAAGAAAATATTAAACATTAAGGATATAGAAAGTACTAGTGAGTCATCATCTTCAGATGATTCTAAAGAGAATTGTATAGGAAAAGAAATTTGTAATTGTATAGAAAAACTTAGAATAAATACCTTAGACAAAGAGAATCTAAAATTTTTTGTAGAAATTATAGACAAAAGTCAAGATGAAGAGATTAAAAAGCAGTATTTGCTTAAAATTAAAGATATATTGGATAAGGAAGATAGACATCAGACCTCTACGAATCCAATTAGTATTAAAGCTATACTAATAAGACTTGAACCTGAACATAGTAAATTAGTAGGAATCAGAGAACTTCAACAAGAAATTAAACAAATAAAACAAGAAATTAGAGAATTAAAGGATAATGAAATCCATAGAGATATAGAAATTTTACAAATTAGAACCCTTTTAGAAACTAATAAAAATAAAGGTATAGAGATTAAGGATGATGATTATATTAGTGAAATACCAACAGAAATAGATCAAAATAGGTATATAAATGTAGTTTCTCAACTAACCAACAGAAAATGGTATTGTCAAATTAGTTTAATTATAAACCAAGAGTTTTCCAGAACTATAGTAGTTTTAGTAGACTCTGGCATAGATATGAATTGTATACATGAAGGATTAATTCCAACCAAGTATTACGAGAAAACATACCAAAAAGCAAGAATAGCTAATAATTCAAGATTAGATATACAGTATAAACTGACAAACGTTCATATATGTAACCAAGGAATATGCTTCAAAAACATATTTATGTTGATTAAAACTTTGAGTTTAAATAGATATTACCCTTCAAAGCCAGTTATGAAGGTATAATTACCAAAATAGGTAGAAAGAAAATAGTTTTTGAATGGGTTAAACCCCAAATAGTTATAGAAATAAAATGTTGAAACAAGAGTCAATTTTTAGAGTTAACTCTATAAATAGAAAGAGAAAGCAAATAAATTTTCTTAGTAAAGAAATTCACTACAAAAGAATAGAAGAATAGGTAGAATACTTGCAAATAAAAGAAAGAATAAATAATTTAAAGAAGAAATTTAAAGAGGATATTTGTTCTAAACATCCAAATACCTTTTGGAATAGAAAGAAACATATAGTAGATCTTCCTTATGAAGAAAGCTTTAGTGAAAGACAAATCCCAACTAAAGCAAGACCTATACAAATGAATCAATAATTGCTTGGGTATTGAAAAACAAAAATTTAACAATTACTTGAAAATAAATTAATTAGACCTAGTAAATCTCCTTGGGGTTGTTCAGCTTTTTATGTGCAGAATTATGTAGAAATAGAAAGATAAGCTCCAAGATTAGTTATAAATTATAAGCCATTAAATAAAGTTTTAAGATGGATTAGATATCCTATTCCTAACAAAAAAGATTTGATAGGAAGGTTATCTAATGCTTCAATATTTTCAAAATGTGATATGAAATCTGGATATTATCATATTTAGATTACAGGAAAAGATAGATATAAGACAGCGTTCATAGTCCCTTTTGGACATTATGAATGGAATGTAATGCCCTTTGGATTAAAAAATGCTCCATCAAACTTTCAGCAAATAATTAATGATATATTCAATCCATATAGTAAATTCACAATAGTTTATATTGATGATGTTTTGGTGTTCTCTAATTCTATTGAAGAACATTTTAAACATTTAAATCAATTTTACGAAATTATTAAAACTAATGGTCTTCTAGTTTTAGCCAGAAAAATGAAACTATTTCAAGTTAAAGTTAGATTTCTTGGTATGGAAATATATTAAGGAAATATTAAGCCTACTAGTCGAGTAATTGAGTTTGTCGATAAATTTCCTAATAAGATTACATATAAAAATCAATTATAGAGATTTTTAGGATGCCTCAATTATGCTATTGACTTCCTTCCAAAGTTAAGAATAAAGGTAGCTTTACTTTTCAAAAGGCTACTAAAAATCCACCAGAATGGTTGGAGAAAATGACAAATATAGTGAAAGAAGTTAAGACTCAAGTCAAAAGCCTACTCTATCTAGGGATAGCTAACCCGACAGCTTTTAAGATAGTAGAGGCAAACACATCAAAAATAGGATGTGGAGGAATCCTAAAACAATTAGAAATAGATAAATAGAAAATAGTGAGATTCCATTCAGGAGTATGGTCAAAAGCTCAACAGCAATATTCCACCATCAAAAAAGAAATTTTATCTATCATTCGGTGTGTTACAAAATTTCAAGATAATTTGATAAATCAAAAGTTTTTTATTAAAGTAGATTGTAAAGCAACAAAAGATATTTTACAAAAATATTTTAAAAAATTAGTATCAAAATAGATTTTTGCTAGATGGCAAGCTATTTTATCTTGTTTTGATTTTGAAATATAGTTTATAAAAGGAAAAGAAAATTCTTCACATGATTTCTTGACAAGAGAATTTTTACAGGGAAAAAGTAAAGATTTTAAAGATGAGTAAAAAATATTGAGGAAAAGTTTTATGAAATGGATTGAAATGGACGTGTGAGAGTTACAAAAATGAAGCAGAAGCATTGCTTTCCATTTACTCATTCATTAAGCCAAAAAAATGTCAAGCATTTATGTTTGTAACTTCTTCTCTACTTCCCTATTTCGTTCAGAGTCCTAGCACTATAAATAGGACCATTAGCTTTGTTGTATGACTCAATTCAGTCTTGAAATAAAATTAAAGTTTCTCTTTTCATTTGGTTTTTGAGCCAGTATAGCCATACAACCATAAACACAAAAAAAACTAGATCACCCTAGGTGAATAGAAGATTATTTATTAAACAAATCTTCTAAACCACAAACATATCACCAAGTGATCACCTCTAAAGCCAATACTTCAAAAGTCACCACTTCTAAATAGCTAGAATTCAGTCCATACATTCCAAAAGAATACATAATGATAGTCTGCCCAATGGAACTTGAATTCAAAAGGACTTCCATTGTTGAAACAATACAAGCAATATTTCCTCCTCACCCAAAAGAGGAAATATAGAATTTTATTCCAACAAATTTGAAAAAAGATAGAATCTACTATGAGTATATCTTAATGGCATCCCAATCCATTATGATTGCTCATAAAGAGAAAGATGGGAATCTATACAGTCAAATAAAGATACTTCAAGTTCTTACTCCCATTACTTAGGGGTACTCTCCTTTTACAGCAAAAAATTTTCTAGCAGATTACGATGACCAAGTTTTTAATTATTATGATTATAAAGAAGTTTGGTTCAATGTTTTGTATTGTAAAATTACAAAAATTTTATAATTATTATGATTATAAAAAGTAACCTAACCACAGTTGTAAGAAAAGAAACTCAAATTTAGTAAAGAAGAAAGACAAAAATGATAGAGTCAAAAGTTGTGGGAAAGTAAAGAAAAAGCAAGATAGAAATAGATCACCAAAGACATACCTCACGGAAAAGCGAAGTCTCATGGTAGACAAAGCCAGAATTCACAGGTAAGAAAAGTCTCATGGACAATAAAGCTAGAATTCATGAGAAAGAATTCACGGGTGAAAATAAAAAGTAACCTAACCACAGTTGTAAGAAAAGCAACTCAAGTTTAGTAAACTAAGGTTTTGAACCTCTATAAATTTAGAACTTCTTTTAATTTACAAGCATCGGGTTCTTTTTAGCTCCCTCTTTTGTATTCCACTCCCCTCTCCTCTCACTTGTAATATTTCCTTCCTTCACCCACCATCTCCATTGAAAGCACATCCACTGTACCTTCTCCTTATTTACAATAAGTTTATGTTTGGTCTATTGTCACACTCCAAAAATAGAGGGTGACTGGCATGGGTGCAAACTACATCGTGCATTCCCAAGCCTTAAAATAAAAATTCATTTCATTTTCTAAAATAAATAATTAAATTATATAAAAATTCTAATGCTTTTAATATTAATTGTCATAACAAGGCTTCAATATTTTTGTAGAAATTTTGACAGAACCTCTTTTATAAATAGGATCTCCTAAAAATTCTACAACAAAATTTTTATAGAATATAGTATCAATCAAGAGCTTAGCTCCAACAACAACAATATATAAATCAAAATAAAGTCCCAACAACAATCTATGTGGAGAAGCTGATCTTTCTTCTAAATTTAAAATGCATGAGTCCTAAAATATTTACATCAAAAAGGTAATAATACCAAGCAAAATTTCCACCTAGTATAACTATATTGCCCTTTTGAGGTACGTGGTAGGATTAGTATCAGCTAATGAATTTAAGGCCAAAATAAATTTTTCAGTAAATAGCATTCCCAAAATAAAATTTAAAAGAAATAAAATAAATCCAAATAATAGTGTAAACTAATTGAAAGGATGATAATTCATCACAATAAACTTATAAGTATGTAAATCATAATTATAATTGTAAAATAAGAGTAAATTGGAAGCAATTTATTTTATCATGCTTAAAGAAAACAATTTATTTACACGTAAATAAAAGTAATACACTTGCTAATGAAAACTATTGAAATTTTGAAAACACATATTAATTAAAATTTAGAATTATAAGAACTCAATAGAATAGGTAACAAACATGGACACACAGTCCACGAGGATAAATAACCAAATGCGACTTATGCCATGAAGACAAATATAGACACACAGTCCATGAGGGTAAATAAACAAATGCAGTCGAAGCCACGAAACAAATGTGGATACATAGTCCACGAGGGTAATGCTAATCAAACATGGCTCAAGGCTATGAAATCAAACACAGAATAAAGCCCATGAACAACAAACGTGAGATCAAAGCCCACAATGCAAACTAGCTAGTTTTTAACCACAACGCATTACGGGCCAATGGAACTGCCTTTAGTAGCAGTGTTCTATTTAGAGTTCTCTTAAAAATCACATTTTCAACATGTGAGAAAAATTATCACTTCTGAAATACAATTTATATGTTCAATACCCAACTTGCATGAATCATTTTAAATTCCAATTTAATACTTGCCGAAATTAATATTTTATAAATAATGTACAAGCTTGTGTTAATTGAATAACCAAGAATTTCCAGAGTTTAATAAATAAAAATAATTTCATAAATATTCAAATTATATTTCTTGAGGAAATAAATGCACATATCATCATCTAATTATCCACCATACTATTCCATAATTTCCAAAACTAATGTAATTCATGAGAGTAAAATATTTCAATAAAAGTCTATTAAGAATAAAAATAAATTAAAGGGGATGCTATTCACTTACATGTCGGAGTTCAAAATTTTCAAAGGTATCCTTCCTTAAGTCTTGTCAAGGTCCCGTTCTTCCACACACCCTATCAGGATATAAATAAATAAAATTTTAATAGATTTCCAATCTTTAACACAATTCCAAATTAATCAATATCATCTAAAATTCAAAACCAAATTTATGATTTAAAGTTAGTCCAAGCATTATCATTCATCCTTATGACTTCCTCCATAAAGCTTTAGCCATGCCATTCCATTTCTTTGAGGTAAAATTTGCTATTAGGTATTTTATCAAACACTATATAGGCATAATTTATCAAGCTAATATTAATATTTTCCTCCTAAATTTCAGCTTCCCTAAAACATTACAATATCACTAATTCAATCATTTTCAAATGGAACCCCAATCTGCAACATCATCTTCCTTCCTTGTACAACCACAATATCCATTTAAATTAAAATTCTCCTTTTTATGCATGCACGTATAGTCACAGTAACAAGGGAGATGAATTTCTAAAACTTCAACCCTCAAATCACATTATCATATATTATTACCAAGTTCGGATGGATTTCAAGCTTAAAATTTCAATGTTCTCCTCTCTATAACAGCATAGGCGACAGTAGAATAAAAATGAAGTGCTGTAACTACACATACAGAACAGCAACAGCAGCACACACACATGCACACACACACTCACACGTACAGCTGACCCATAAATGGAAGGTCCAAAGTTCCTCACCTCAACTTGGCTAGCCCAGACAGTGGCGGACAAAAGGAGGTTCTTGAATATTGAACAGAGGGAGAGAGCCCGACACTGCCACACATTATGGGAAGAAGAAAAAGGAAACTCACAACAGAACAGGGAAGAGGAAAACTGGATGCTACTAAAAGCACAGCAACCGAATCAACAGGAACAACCTAATTTCACAACAGCACCATCGCAGCTTCGGCAACTTGGTCTCTCATTTCTGCAACCTCTAGGATGTAAACGACATGGGAGAGCAGCAGCAGATGAAGAAGAAGAAAAAAAAGAGTTGGAAGACATGAAGGTGCACCTGGAGATTGCTGAGCAGTGGCGAGTCTCCTCTAACGTCGGTGACAGCAAGAAATAAAGAAGGGAGAGAAAAGGATCGGTGATGGTAGAAGGATGGAGAGCAAGCCTGAAGGCTCTAGATTTCTCTCTCTCTCTCTCTGTGCACGCCGACTGAATAAGGAAGAGAAAGGAGAAATTTAATTTGATGAGGGAGAAGGTAGAATGGTAATTTCATAAAGCTTAAATCACAAGAAAAAATAGACCTCCTCCATTTGTGCTTCTGCAGACTCGAACCTTAGACCTAATGTATGGGTTATTTAGACACTTTCACTACACCAACTTCTCTTCTTGTCATAATTGTCCTAAGAATTAATATAAATACAATTAAAATGCTACAACAATATATGAAATTATTATATTTTTTTCCTGGGTTATTACATATATACTCTCTCTCTCTAGGCTTTTGTTAATCATTGACATCTTGTTGTATATATATGATGAACAATCACTTATACATATTCGAACATCACTTATTCAGATATAACAAAAGTTGTCAATTTTTTGAAACCCAATTTATTCTATTTTTCACAACTTGTTCCCTTAATATTAACAAGTTATCAATATTATGCTAGATAAAAAATATATTATAAATTTATTTTTAAAGCATTTTCATGGGCTTTTGTTATCATGAGATGAGATTACTAAGAAATTCTTCCTCCACATCCTATTATAAAGCACTTCCAACTACCTCACTAGAACCAAAGATGATGTGGTTAAGTTATTAACTTTGTCTGAAAAAAAAAATTAACTTCCAATTTTACCCTATTCAAATTAAAAGTGTTCAAATTTACATTGGATTCTCTCTCATAATTATAAAGCATTATTGATATTTTTTTATAAGACTATGGAGTATTTGAAACGGATATAAATTTAGCATTAGAAAATTTTATGGAACGCTACTCTTTTCGTTTAAAAAAAAATTCAGAAATCCTTACAATTTTATCCTTTTTTGTTATCATGCTTAAGCCATAAGTGTTTTTTTTTTCTTTGTTGCTGAAGACAATTCTATTTGAAATATGATCATGAACTAAATGTAGCACCTCTCTCACCCAAAATTTGAATTTTGGTTTATCACATTGTGATGGACTAATTAAAAATTGAAAGAAAAAAACTATAAGAACCTCTGAATTGATTTTTCTTCATTTTATAAATCATTATAAATGTTGAACAATATTTATGGAAAGTTTCATAATATAGTTAAGAATAAAATACAATGACTTCCCTTCCATTTTGCTATAAAATTACACAGATTTTCCCCTTTTTTCAAAATCCATACTTAGTTCAATTTTTATTTTTTATTATCATTAGACATATTCCTTTAAAAATTCTACAATACTTCATTTTTTACTTGTAATCATGTTGAAAATTTTTAAATTATTAATTATCCTTATAATCTAATTATCTACTTTCTCCTCACAATTTAAACAACTTTAAATGATTAAGTAGGAAAATATTTTAAATATACATATTATACTTAAATAAGTAATTTTAAAAATATAATGTCAAAATAAATAAAATTTACAACAAATAAACATAAATTACTACTCCCTCTGATCTTTATTATAGGGCACGTTTTTTGCTTCTTAATATAAGGCACACCATGTGATATTAACCATGAGAGAGAGTCCAATGCAAATTTGAACACTTTTCATTTAAATAGGGGTGAAATTGGAAGTTCATTTTATTTCTCAGACAAAATTAATAACTTAACCACATCCTCCTTAGTTTTAGCAAGGTAGTTGAAAGTGCCTTACAATAGGATCCGGAAGGAGAATTTTTCAATAATCTTGAAATGGTCTAAATTTACCTTGTAATTAGCTTAAGGAAAGTGTGTAGAAAGCTTAAGGCAACATCATTTCCTCCAAAGTTCAATGCTCAATCCAGACACTCAAGTGTTGGAGTACAATATAGGCTCTTAGCGCTCCACGTCTCCGTTACCTTTGTTCACTTCATCATTGCTTTTAAGTGTTCTCACACTAAACTTTCCCAGCCACAAACACACAAACATGGCGGCAGAAAACTCTGAACCCTCCGATGTTCCCGAGTATCTCCAGAAAGTCGAATTAACCTAAGAAAACAAGCACCTCATTGCCACCTTACCTTGCGATGCGTTTTGCGAACCTTCATATGCCATCCATCAATATGACGGTTTCTGGTACAGTACAAAAAACTTGCAAGGAATCCTCAATAGCAAAAAAACACTTCAAAGCTCATGATTCTGACATTCTTCTCGTCAGCTTTCCAAAATCTGGAACCACTTGGCTCAAAGCCCTAGCCTATGCGATACTTAATCGCAAGATCTATGATCCAACAAATTCAAATTATGATGAGAGCCAGTCTCACCCTCACCCTCTCCTCACTGCTAACCCTCATGATCTTGTACCTTTTTTAGAGATCAATCTCTATATCCATGAAAACATCCCCGATATGAGCTCGTTCCCGTCACCAAGGCTCTTAGCAAGCCATATGACTTACATTTCGTTGCCAGAATCAGTGAAGTTGTCAATGTGCAAGATTGTGTACTTATGTAGAAATCCTAATGATATGTTTACATCAACGTGGTACTTCATCCAAAAATACCTACCGCAAGGCCAACAGCCCAGGTCGGTTGAGAAAACATTTGAGAACTTCTGCAAAGGAAGGAATCCTTATGGCCCATTTTGGGATCACATTTTGGGATACTACAAGCAGAGTTTGGAGAGGCCAAATTAGGTAATGTTTTTGATGTATGAAGAGTTGAAGAGCAAGCCAGTAAGGGTTTTGAAGAACTTAGCTGAATTTATAGGGCATGGATTTATTGAGGAGGAAGAGAATGGTAATGTTTTCAATGATATAGTGAAGCTCTGTAGTTTTGAGAATCTGAGCAACTTAGAAGTGAATAAGACTGGAAAATTGTTGAGTGGGATAGATAATAATGTTTCTTTAGGCGTGGAGATGTTGGGGATGGGGAGAATTTTCTCACCTCTGAAATGAATGGAATGCTTGATGTATTACTCAAGCGGAAGCTGGGGAAACATAGCGTAAACTTTCACATCCACAAATCTTGATGGGAAACTTGATCGATCAAAATTGATGAGGTATGAATAAAACTTAAATTTCAAATGGCAGTTTTTAAGCAAGGGGATAAGAGAGTTTTTTCCCCCTCTATGAAATTTACTTTTTATTTTATTCTATGTTCTATAATATTTATTTTTTCCTATCAATAATTAAGAAAAACATATAAGCATAGTTGTACAGCTTTTCTTTCATTTATCTCTTTTGACCTAACGAATTTTTTTCCCCACAATGCAGGTTTGTACTTGAATTTCTATATCAATTGTCACTGTGTTCTATTTTAGGGTAGTGGGCCTGGGGTTCCTTCTGCAATAAATGACAATAGTACCCTGTAGGTGCAGGGTACGTGTATGTATGTGAACTCCGAAGTCTTAGATGACTCTGTACCCAAGAACTAAGTTTGGTGAAGTGTGAGAATTCTCTTGTGAAGCTTTTCTTCAAATGTTGAGACAGATGTTTCTCTGCATTACTTGCAAAATTATTACATTGAATATTACCCCTTTGATCCTTATTATAAAAACCTATTAAAAAAAGATTAAGGAATACGACTAAACTTAGTTGACGGTTTGAAATTTTAAAAATTATTCAATAATACTGTGAGGTAGTTAATGAAGAATTAATACTTTAGTGAGTTATTGATTATTGCATATCAACGCAAATCCATTTAAGGGAGAGAAAAAAAAACCAGAGTAAAAATTCAATGAATGGTATTATAAAGTTAAAAGATACAAAATTCTCTTAAATTTTAATATAGTTTTTTATAACTTTTTAACTTTTTTTTGTTAAAAAAAATCCTCTCCCACTTTTCCCACTTCTCAAGAAAGTTGTCACAAATCACCTTGCCACTCCCCTTAAACAGAGCGCACTCACAATACTTAGATCGGTGCAAACCGTTATTGTTCCTCTTGGTATTGAAATTCAAATGTAAAGGAGAGGGTTGTTGTTTCTATCAATAAGAGGCAATGAGCGTGTAACTGGTGAGTTGTTAAACCATATATGTTTTGATTATTACAAAATAAAGAAAAATGAGTTTGTTACTTGTACAGATCAATTGTTATAATTTTAAGTGGCAAAACCTCAAGAGCATGAAGAACAAGAGAAGACTTAATTTAAATAAGTTTTTATTTTATCTTTTCTTAAATTCAATGTGAAAACTATATGAGAGCAATTTAATACTTTGCATGATAAGAATCATTCACAATAGAACATGTTATAGGCTCACAAGTCTTAGAACTTCCGTGTCAACTTCTTAGAATGTATTTGGTTTTTACATTTTTCTCAACTTTTCTTCATTTTACTACTATAACCCCCCTACACATCATAAATTAATTGTAAATTATTTGAACTTTGATCTTTACATATATATACATGGATTTTTAAGTTCCTATGAATTTCTTCATCATTTCAAGGAATAGATTTTGGGATGTTACGAAATGTATAAAAAGAATATTAATTTGATTTTCAATAAGGGGGTTTTTGAGAAAATATGTGATGAAAAAAATTGAAATATTCCATATTCATGCATTGAATATGCATAAAAAAGGAAAATTAAATTGAATATGTTATTAATGAGTAGTGATAACATATACTTATGTGTACACATATGTATGTTAGTAATCAATACATGATAGTTCCTGAAGAACTAGTGAAGATACTTTTCTATGGGAAAATGATTAATAATGAAAAATATGACCCCATATATATATATATATATATAAGAGCTTTGCTTCTCCAGGGTTTTTAGGGTGATAGCTCAATTGATTAAAATTCATGATCATTTGTGAATTTGAAAGCACTTAAGTGAATGATATATCATTTGGCTATTATATGCTAGTAACTACCTTTGAAATTTGAGAAAGGTAGAAATAAGAGGGATATGTCTTCTTAACTCACATTCTTGAGGGGAAAATTGTTGGAATACAAGCAAGTGTTAATGTCAAATGAAGTTCTAGTTATATGTTTACATATTTCCTTTTAAAACACAATAGATATCCCCAATAGATATCATATTGAAATTGTAAATCAACTGCAGATCATGCAAATCAAAAATTTTCTACTAGTTAAAAAAAATATTATAGTAAACTAGAAGTTTACTAATATTAACAGATATATGGTTGGCATAACTTCTTTGATTATTTGGATCATATATATGATGTAAAGAATTATTAAGAACATATATTGATATCATATTCTGACAAATATTTAATGCACTTCACAGAAAAAATAATTTTAAAGTAAACTTCACTTCTACACATCTTCAACATCTATTCACTTACCTTTAGTGTTCCTCGCATCTTTTTTATTGCCAAACTACAAATAGGACCTTAATAACTCACATTTACACACTTTTTCTTATTATCATTGATCAAAAATCATGTTATATTTATCCAAATTGCACACTTACTATATTAATTGTGAGAAATCGCCTAAGCGTAGGATTCTGTGTATTAAGGGCATTTTGGTCATAAAATTAACTTTCGAGAAAATGTTTGACAAAATTACTCAAGATGAATTTTTAGTCTAGAAAAACAATGGTTTAATTAGATTTCTCAAACTCTTTTTAGATTGAGAATAATTAATTTCACAGGTTGACAATTTTGGAAAGTCAAAGTTTCAGGTTGACTTGTTTTCTTACACTTAGGCTAGGTTATTTTTGTGCAAGTGTGGGCTTACAATTTTTAGGCTATTTGGCACCCCCAAAAGAATCTTTTATGATTTCATAATTACCTTTTATTATTTATTGCATTATGCCACATATTTGAAAATTAATTTTAATTGGAATTGCAATTATTATTCATATGCTTTGAACTTTGATTTTGTGTGTCACATTTATTTGTGTAAGACTACACACCTTGGATTTGGCACATGAGGACCATTGGATTAGAATAATAGATGAGTCAAGAGGCAAAACACTTGAGTTTTGAGGAAAAGTACAAGTCTTGTATGATCTTGCACATATTGTACCACACTTTAAATCTACTCACTGTCTCTCTTAATTTCCCATTACCTTTAGCTTTATTTAATACAATTTTCAGGCCATTTTTATCTGAATTTTCGTCCATTTTACCATGGAAATAATAAAGTTACCCTAGCTTATTTTTCACCCATTTTCTTAACACTAGAGTTGGGCTCATTCAACCTAGACTTGAATCAAACTACCCTAATTTTATTTTCAGCATTCATTCTTCCATCACTCTTATTTTTCAACCTCCACCCTTCTCCATTCTCTCTCCATTGTTCTTCATGTTCTTCATCTCCATCTCATCTTCTCTCCTCCATTTCTCATAATTTAACCATAAAAATCCTAAACTAACTCCATCATTCTTCTTCTTCCACCTTACTGTTCAAAACCTTAAGCTTCATTTTTTTAGTTTGGCTTCAAAATCCTCAAGGTGTTAATGAGTACGGTTCAGCCATGGTGGAAGGATTGTACTCAAATGGGTTCCAAGATGACTAGAGGCTAAATCTACAAGGAGTGCTAGGAGGAAAGGATGCTAGAGGAGTCTTGAAATGCCTCAAGGAAGGTTAAGGGTTATGGCCACTCTCCATTAAACCTAAGTTGATATAATCTTGTTCTTAAAATTAGGAGCATTGTTATGTCTTGTTTTTATTGACCGAAATTGGTATTTAACTTGTTAGTTTAGTGTTTTTTCACTTGATTTCCCTTTGTGTAGTTGCTGAAAATTTTCTCTAATACATTGTAATTCATATAAATATATGTTTTATGTATGTTGAATGTGTCTTACATTGGCTATGCATAAATATGTTTGCTTGGTGTTTGATAAAATGTCTTCTATATAAAATTATGCATTAAACTTACCATAGGTCGAGCTACACATAAAGGGAACCTAAGGAGAATTTTGATCACTTTGCACTTAACTAAGGAATTGATCAGGGACTTATATAAAATTGTTCAAGGACTTGGTTAATTGAATTGGTTAGGAAGGCACACTTATACAAAATTGTCTAAGGGGTTTAATTTAATCAAGAGAGTAGAAATTAACTTAAGCCTAATTAAAAAGAGTAGATAAGGAATCTAGCATCCCACAACTCTTAGGACTTCACTTTAGAAAGGGTTTAAAACACTCACATTTCCATTTCACTAGTTAATTAAGTTTTTAATTAAATCTGTCCAGTTAGTTTTAATTAGCTAAAATCAATCAACTCTTGGTTAGTTTAGCTCACTAATTTAGCCTTAATTAACCTTAGTTAGCCTCCTTAGTGAATAATGACCTAGGTTGCCACTAATACTATATTAGTGTTAACTTAACTATTTTGGAGTGTATATGACATACGCTTTCAAACTTCATTCAAGTAAGTGGGTAATCATTGAACATATATTAAGTGCCTTTCATTGAAATTCTATCTTCTTGAATTCTATTCATGTAAAAACATGCTCCCAATGAGTTTATATGCATTGGATGTATTATCTACTCTTCTAAGAGAGTATTCTAAGAGTGCCAAAATTGTTCCTATCATATCTTTGAGAGAGAATACATTAGGAAAACATTTACTACTTATTTTTAAGTGAACTAAAGGTAGTGTTCCCTTATATTTATTAAGGGAAAGATTTCTTTGTTAACAAGAGAAGCTTTTCTTTGGGTGTGGATACTCTTAATGTAGTAAGAGACTTGTAATGGTTTGAAAGTATTGAATCA